GCTGATCCTGCCTTCTTCAAGTCTCCTGTTCATTAGATTTCTCTCGGTCAATATTTCGATGGCCTCTCGGCGTTATGGCCAAAATGTACTAGAAATCCACTTAAGATGCCGCATGTGACCAGAGATAGGCGTCCACAGTTTGCTCAGATAAAATGGGTTTGATCAAGGAGAGGACCCGTGAAGGGAAGACCTGATATCTGCAAACATGGCAATCAGAGCTTAGGCGTTCTGCTCAGTGAAGCGGCAGTGTACGTACTTCTAGGCCATTGATAAATAACACACGGACTGGAACCTAGTAAAATCGGTCGACCAGAAAGATATGGAACGGATCTACGAGACAATGAGGGGATCCGGATTGGAGACCCAGGTCGGATCAGTCGATCGAAAGAGATGGGTCGGGGTAAATAGCAAGTGCGATGAGCCACACTAGATTTGCCACAAAAGGGCACACATTTTGACGAGTGGAATGTAAACAAGTAAGAAGTTGTGATAGGACGGCAGTGGGATTAGAGGGTAAAGAGTAGATAGATAGGCCAAGACAGAAAGAGGAGTGATAGTGTAACCGCTTTCGGTAGAATGTTGGTCGATGGATTGACTTTGCTCGTCTCTTTGACGAGTTCGTAGCTTGGTGCGGAGAATGGCAGCACTCACTGCTGATGCCGACTACGATGCCGGCGAAACGTTTGAAAATGTACCAAGTCCACTATCTGCTGCTGGGAATCATGACAACTACTATGGCAGACGACTTCGGATTAGGTGCGTTCTACTAAGTCCCCCTGACAACAAGACCAAGTTGCGACAACGGGGTCAACCCACTTCTATAAATCGAAAGGAGACTGTGACCATACCAAAGGCCACAACATCTTGGTCTTCATATCTTCAAGAACCTATACTTTACGAAATAGCACAAAAATATGCCTAAGTAAAGGAAAAGTTCGTTGATTGCAACCCTATTTGCGATTTTATTCACCTAGCCTTTCGATCTTAATAATGGATTTCCTGACTTAGTTGGCTACCTCAAACTTATTCTACATGGTAGATACGATGAGAAAGTTGGTTTCGATGAATCTCCTCAGATATTTGTTGGTCAATTTCACCAGATGAAGACGGATGAAACTCGTACTGCAGCCGTTTGGCTTTTATACGATATTCCTGTTGACGCAGTCCACAAGACTTCCTCCCTCGTTTCGGGAAAAAACGTGCTTAGTTTCGTCCATCATATGATGGACATCATCAGAGCTGGGTGCCATTCTTGTAAAGTCTCACGTTAACACTAAAGAAAGAACACTATCTGGTTCTATCTTACTTCTTATATAGACTTGACCGAGCCAAAAAATTAAAAATTAAGAAACCTAGATAAATCGATATAGAGTGTCTTGGTTAATTTTCTTTCATACTGGTTCTGTTATTTTTGCTAGATCGCATGAGTATGTGTATTTTTGCGTGTTAGCGTCTATATGCAATACGCTTCATAAATCAGACTTGTCAGAGGTTAAATCTTTGGTTCTGATCCTCAAGACCTAATAACCCAAGAGAAAATCTTTGACCGAAACTGCCAAGGTCCGTAAATAAGTATGGTTGAGATAATCAAATGATACGAAAACACTTGTCCTCACCTTTTTTCAAGGGTCATTAACGTTTAACCCTCCAAGGAAAGGCAAGATTGGGGTCGCGTAATCTAACATGTCTGTTTTGTTTGAAGAGCTTACTCTAACATTTTGGGCGAATGTGAGTGAAATTAGAACCATCACCCAGCAGACAAATTGATTCTCCTTCTTTTGGACTGCGGCTCAACACCCTATCTCTCCTTCAATCTATCAATCAAGCATAAGTAATTCCTACTCAACTTTCTACCACCGTTTCTCACATTCAACGTATTACTTAATATATTAATTTCAATAGCCTCTCTTATCTTTCTTTTAAACACAGACATACCGTAATTAGCAAACCTACTAGTTTGAGACCATTCTATC